TAGAAAGAGTTATCTTTAAACAAATTGTTTGGGTTAAAAGAAAAAGAATAAAGTGGGTAAAATTAGTATAGGGTGTCAGAAGATATAAAAGTTAAGATTTCTATACTACAAGGTATCATTTGAATTCTTGGAGCTATTGAGATATGAACCTTAAACATAAGGGGTCTGGATATGAACCTTAAAAATAAAGGGTATGCAGATATTTTCCCTTATATATAATATATACTATTATATATTCATATTATATTGTATTATTATACTATATTATACATTTTATATATTATTGGGTGCAGTTTGTATAAAGCCTAGGCTCTATACAAACAAATTAGAGCCTACCTTCAAATAGTGCAGAGCAATGAGGTTTCAATATTGAAAATTTTTGCGATAACCTTAAAATATATTTTCATATTTATTTATAAAGTTTAAAACTTCAAAAATAATGTAGATCGACATATCTATGAAAACTTAAAAATCTTGAAAATTGACAGTCAAAAACTGCGTTACAAAATTCTCTATTTCCAAAACTTGAAATCCATTTTTTTCCTATATCCATACATCTTGATGTCGAGATGATCAATTTAAAGATATTTGAGCATCAAAACAACCTCTTCTAGTGATATTTTTTAGGTAGGCTCAAATTTAATTATTTAGAGCCTCAGTTCTATATAAACTTTTTCCTATATTATTATATATTATATATTAATTATTATTACAATATAATTTACATATTAAGGATATAATGGAAAGGAATAAGAAAAAAATAAGGAGTTTATCTCAGTTAAGAAATATTATTGAAGTTTGGAATCAATGGGAGAAGTTAATCAGTATAAAATTAAATGTAGGGTAATAATATAGAAACCTCAATTGAATATTCATAAATTCACATCTTTCAAGCAATCCAAACAGTAGACAGGCATGTTCTATGTTTCTTATCAAGTGCTATCCAAACAGCAGACACCCCTATCCTAGGACATACCAATTCCAAGAAAACCTGATTTCAAGAGAATCCTATTCACAAAACAATTTCTCCAGTACTCAAACGGACCCTAAGGGAATTTGAATTTTGGGATTCTAGGAAGTAACGGGTTCCTAGGGGTATCTTTTCTCCCTAGAAAATGTGTCTCTCTCCTCTCATCTAGAGTCTTGAACTTGAAAGTAAAGTAAAAAGAACAAGTAAGAATTTTAATCCTTGAAGAGAGACCTCAAGAGCTTAATTACAAATGACTAAGAGTTCAAGAGTCTTCATTATAAATGACTTGAGTTTCTTGTATAGAGCAACAACAAAACAATGGTGAATTACTCAAAACTAACCAAAATTGTCACGAAAATACATATTTTATGAATTAAAATATTAATCCAGCTTTTTGACCAAAATGCCCTTCAACACTTTTCAACAAATGACAAAATTATCCCTCCATGAGGGGCCTCTTGCCATTAATAGGCCTCAAGAGCCTTTCGGACACTTACAGTGGCAATTCAAACGATCAAACATCGTAGAATCGATGCTTGAACTATTACGCATGTTTTGATACCCTTTGATCGTCTTGAAACGGATTTTTAAGGATAAACCCAAAGTCCGGCCAAGTTCTATAAACTTGTGATTCTTTGACCACCGATCCGACACGATTCATGATGATTCGAGACTTTATTTTGATCACAAATTGAAGATGATACTATCAAGATCATTTTGTGATAAATTTCGTCCATTTTGGTCTCTGTTTAAACATGTTCCAATTTTGGGAAGTTGTCAAAAAATGGGATTCCGACGACTAGAAAAGTATGTCATCTTCGACCTCAAAATTCGGTGTCATCCGGCCTCCAATTATTCACAAAAATTGTATCAAATTGTGGCTCTTCGAAGCACGATCTCAATGGACCCGTACTTGCCATGATCCGATGTCGGGATCTTGAGCTATGTCCTCTCAAAGAATTGGATGTTCTTCTTTTTAAAATCTAAATTTTCATGTTTCGAGCACATTTTCTCTCTAAGAATTCTCTCGTTTCGGGCCATATCATGACACATGTCATATGTCAAAATGAGCGTATCGTCGAGATCTAGCTTGTGTCCGAATTTGAGCTTAATTGGACTCAAAATGAGCAAGTTGTGATCATTTGAAAATCATCCCAAAATGAGAAACACAATTTTCATAAATAGAAACTGGTGTACCGAGGCTGCACTGCAATAGTGTAAAACTCACCATTTATGGTAAGTTAGGCCGAGAATGGTCCCGGAGGATCCGATTGAGCCAAAATTTGTGCCTTGAGATTTTCGACATTCTGGATCTAATGAAGGTGGTCCGATACTGTTTTGAGACCCAAAAAATAGGCTATAGTTATGGGGTCCATTTCAGCTTGATAGGAATAGGATTTCCAAACTGAGTTTCGTATTAATCATCTCAAAACGTGTCAAAATGCTATGAAACTTTGCAAATGTCTTTAAGGTATACAAATGATCTCATTCAATTTGAGATCATTCTGACACTTCTTCAAAGGTCGTCTAATATTAAGCTTATTGCTTTAGTGTTTTCGTGGTCTGACAGTGTCTTAAGCACCAACAAAACCAGGTTACTACTGTCTCTCTCTTTGCTCACCTCGAAGATACAAGTACGTCAAAAATTATGTATAACATTGCTCATGACATTTTAATACACAAGAGAAAATCAAAGAGAGTGCGGTGTGGCCCTCAGGAGCAATCCTCTCACTCAAACGTTTGAAATTTAAAAGAGAGCTTTCATTGTCATTTTCAATACTTATGTGTCATTCTTGACACACAAGTTCACACATTTGACTAATGAGAATCAATACACTATAAAACCCTTTTTACCTCAAACCCTTACTAGACCAAAATTTACAAAATAATGAAATGCAACTCATACATGCGTACACAGGCGCGCCACTAATACATAACTCACCAAAACGCATCCAAGTCAACAAAAACCCCACTAAGGCACATCCCACCATGTAGCATGTCCACATCATCCACAAGGGAAGCCACATTTTGGCCATGTGGCACCCATCCGCAAGTTCGATACCACATCCGTCGCATGTGCACGTCTCTAAATAGAATTTGGTCCAACAATTTTAGTAATTCTCATTCTAAAAAAAAAAATCAAAACTTACGAAAAATACATTTCTTAGTATTTTCTCATAATTTTGAATTGATTATGACTCAAATACCATAGTTTCAGAGAGATTAGGATGCAATTTTGATCCGAATTTTTAAGACTTGCAACTATGATGATGCATATGAATATAGAATTTATATTTTTTTGAAATAGTAATAGTGGTTTTTATATTGTTTTATCCACCATCCATTATAACTCTTTGTGGATGCACCATTTCTTGACGTTCATCTTAGAAATGGTCGTTTGATGCATGAAGGATCGCACAAAAATAAGACAGTAAGCTGACTCACTAAAACCCCATCTCTCTTTATTTATATATATAGAGAGAGAGAGCAATGACATCATGCAACCGTTGTATATTAATATGATATAACAACGTTAAAAAACCATTTTATGGCCATTTGTTTGATTCAAATTTTGAAATATACAATCTTTTCATTCTAATAAACAATCACAAAGAAAGAAAAAATTGAAAACACAACCTAGAAAGTATCTTTTTAACCCAATTAACATAGGTTGTTCATTTTGGTGAGATGGTTAGATCTAGACCTTAAAAGGATTTTTTCATTTCCAATTTGTTTGGATGACTTTATTATCATTAGATGAACAATGATAAAAAAGAAAAAAACGATTTTGAATTCATAAAGGCTAAGATCTTAAAATTCACAAAACGAATGGTCTAGATTCGTTTTTAGAGATGACTCATTTTGACCAAATCTAAGGTTCAAATTGAACTTTTTTTTTTTTTTTGACGGGATTGATTATTGAGATGAAAAGAGTGTGTATACAAAATTTGGGATCATACAAATACCACAAACATAGTTTACTAGAAATGTCGTTGCAATATACTATGATACAACCGTTGCATTGAATCATTGCTCATATATATATTATATTTTCAATTTTTTTCTTTTTTTGTAATTGTTCATTAGAATGAAAAGAGTGTATATTTCAAAATTTGGATCAAACAAATGGCCACAAAATGGCTTTTAAAGTTGCTGCATCATATTACTATACAACGGTTGTATGAAATCATTGCTATATATATATATATATATATATAAGTTTATATAAGATTATAACCTTAAAATGTAGAACTGCAAATGCACCTCAAAAAACCATCGGAAAAGGTTGTTTTCATGTTTAGAAACTTCATAATATTTCTTTTCGACATCAAGATGTATGAATATAAAACCAAAAAAAAGATTTTAAATCTAAAAAATAGGGCATCTTGCAGCACATTATCTAGACCGTCCATTTTCAAAAAAATTATATGTTTGTAGATCTACTCGATTTTAACTATTTTTGGAGTTTAAAATTTTATAATTAGATATAAAAATAGATTTTGAGATAATTCTAAAAATTTTACACCAAAAATACATGTTATGATAAAATTTGGGCGATTGTTAAAAGTTGCAACCTTATAGAAACCAGGTTTTATATACAATGAAACCATTTATCTTCGATACAAAATTACAATTACTTATAACCATCGATGTGAAATTTGATTGCTTCAGTGTCACAAAGTTTGAAAAATTTTGTTTTTAATTTTGTGCTTGGTCAATGAAATAAATGTAACAACCCAATTTCACATCAATAGTCATGAGGAATTATAACCACCTTTGTATGAAACAAAGGTAAATGATAACCACCTTTGTATGAAACAAAGGTAAATGGTCTTATTGTATACTTTCCCTATATATTAAATCAATTCCCATAGTTTACTTGGTCGTACAGGGTACATTAGACAAGAACCTTCATATCCTATGCAAATTTCCTTATTATATTTTCCCAATCTTATACCATATGGTCTGTTTACTATTGCCGTCTTAATCTAGGGTGTTTAGACAAGCGCAGGGGCCAGCATACCAACCAGAAAGAATGGGCCTTCACAAACCAAACTTGGCTTAAAATCATTTCAAGACTGAAAATAACTCCAAGGAATATCGCAATCCAATACATTACAAAGCCGTGTGCTTCAATGCACAACAATCATACTCTAAGATTTGAACATTCACCATGAAGACGAGGCCTGATGATGCATGTGGTACCTGCAATTTGGTAAAACACTATCAACTCAAATATATGGCCAGAACGCTTTTGGTACTTTCTTCACCAAATGTGGTCGTCCCATATAACCCAGTAAGAAGGATGGCATATAGAATAAATTTTACGATAAATATAACCTACTGGTGAAATCGTATAGCTTAACAGCAACGGCAAGTCACAATGTCCCAGCATGTGTATGGCCTTTTTTTATCTTCTATTTCCTCCAGCGTGGGCAATGGTTCAATGGTATAAATACTTCTGCTGGCGCAACAAAAGTTGTACAGATTTCTGCATACCCCCTTGCTAAAAGGATGGACCCTATCAGGGATACCTCTGCAAGTTCACAGAATACCCCACATAAAACTTACTAGAAAAAAGGCAAAAAGAAAAAGTTTTCACTCAATGGATTGTTTATTCTAATTAGTCTGATAATAGCTTACTCACGATTCAAGGAATAATCAGGAACCCTCAACTCTACACCGCCTGTATTAAATAATTATTCACACATACAAAAGAATCTTTTTCTCACAGAAATTATCTGACTCCAATTTTTTTCATGGGAAGACAAAAATAGACAACTTTTCTCCAAAAGGCAGCATTTCCATGAAACCTAAATAATTACTTGATGATTGGATGAAAACGAGTGGATTTGGAAACTTGGAGAAAAACATGAGGGGATCATTCGCTACCAGAAGCAGATGAATGCCTCGGTTTTAGTTCCTTGGGGAAGTGGATAAGAAGATGAACGCAATGGGAAACAGTGTTAACTTTCAGAATATTTTCCACATTAGAACAAAATTATTGCCATAAATATGACTTTCCAAAGCCGTTCCTGTAGTGTCAAAAAATGTTATCGAGTTTTTCTACATCTCTCTTTTGGGAGGTATGCGTGAGGGGAAAACCCATAATAGCCTAGATGCTAAAACAAGGATAACTCCAGCCACCAGCTTAAAGGGACAACACCAGTGGGTTTTCTCTTCTACATTTCTTTCATAGAGAAACTTGGCATACCTCAGATACGAAATCCGCTGTTTCCTTATAAGTTCATGCGTTGTCTGATTCGTCAGTACAAGATAGCTGTGTAACCAATTCCAGTATAAGAAAAAAAAGAAAAGTAAATTTTCTTTTTTTTCAAATATGACAGAATTATGAAGATATATTAGAGAAAGCACTGAAAAGTTGCAATTCAAGCAATAATCATATTAAATAATGGATGTAGTGTTCAACCCTGTTATATAATTTTCATGAAACGCTGAACACTGTAACTTAACTCAGAGCGAGGAAAAAAGAAACATACACACATCACAAAAGAACAACAAATTTCAGGCAAACAGAATCTGGCAATATTCCATCTGCAGAGGGAAAGCGGCAGTATAGTGCTGAATCTCATATTAGACAGAACAAAGAGTTCACTGTTGGCCATTTATCCACTTTTTTTTCTTAATTGTGCTTTGGTGTTGAAATAAATTATGAAATGGAAGTAACTTGAGAGAAAAATTTACTGCAAAAGCTGCAACTGACAACCATCCTCCTCTGTACATTACATATCAATAGCACACCACAAAACATTTTCTACAACTTATTCTAACGACTAGATGCAGAAACCAGTGTGCATATCCAAGAATAGATTTAGACTAGGAAATCGCGAGAGTTACTTTATGCACCACTTTGAGTTACCCAAGCCATTTCAGAAGCCAAACTTTTGGTACCAGTTGTATGAGGGAAACTGACCAAGAGAGAAGAAAAGGACAAATACTAACGGTGCAGCCAAGGTAAATTTAAGCCATGACGGACCTAGTGAAACTACTTGATACATGATATTCAATAAATATTTTTCGAGCATCAATCAACAAAATGGGAAGATAAATATTACATTGGTGATGTCTTCACCATGTCATGGTGCCAGCTATGGACCACTTAAAAGTAAAATTGGTTAAAAACTGCAAACACCATAACACAGATAGCATTTGAATCAAAATGGATTTGATTCTTTTAGTACATTACATCTCTTGCAGCTGTAGAAGACCATGGTTTTGGGTTACTGGCAATGCTAACTTTACTATCTTCAGACTGCTATGACTAATGAGATGGTAACTGAACCATATTTACCTGGCAGGCAAACCATCATGCCCATAGGAAAGCACTAGGTGTGCCAGCTTTATGTTATGAGTTAGGTGCTCAAAGAAATTAATATTTCTGCAATCAACGATAAACTAAAGGCAAAAGCATCCCAACTTGGGCCCAGAGGAAAGTATATCACAATGTGGCTTCTATACTTTCCTCGCTGTTGAGCTGAAAATTTAAGGATCCATTACACAAGTGTCCAGAAATCAAAAGGCCAATAACAATTGTGACTGCTACAGTCAAGCATAGCTCATATTCATATTTTACAAATTTCCATAGCTGTAAGATTCAAATTCATGACCAGCAAAGTTTTGGAAGAACCCAATACCAAGAACTCCAGTGAAAATGGCTTTACGTCATTGTCATGTAGAGACACTAACAATGTCTAATTTTTTAGTGCTCAGCAAAGACCTTGAATCGTTTAACATATTTTATTTATTGAATGAGCACTCCCTAAAACTGCTTAGGAGATTTTCAGTTAGAAAGCAAACATCAACAACTAATATTACCAAAAGCAGGAGGCCACTTGAATCATTTAACACCACCCAATCAAGTCATGAGGATGCCACGGGAAGAGGTTGATGCTTACAAAATAATGCAAATTGTAAACACTCCAAAGTGGAAGAACAAATGACAAACGGCATAAGTTAAAGGGCAGAAAGAAATAGAGGATGCTTCAACCCTGTCCGCCCCAGACTGCACTTTCACAGTCAAAAGAATCTGATGAATGCAACATTTTAAATAAATTTACATCATGTATAAGTTGATGGTATGGTTATTACGAAGTTTACATAATTTATAGGTGCAGGAACCAAATCAGCGAATTTCTTGATAAAACCCAATAACAACTGTCACTTAACCAACCCTACTATAATGAAATAGTTTAGGAAGAAAGCTTTCTAGAAAACAGAAATTAATCCTATAAGATATTCTTAAGTATATGAAATTATCTCAAACAAAAACATGAGCATTCTGTTTAAAATGCAGATCATGAAAAGTTACGGATTTCTATTATGGACTTCTTTTTTTGTGAAATTAATGTACATATGTATCTCAAACAATGATTTAAAAAACGAATCAGTAATTAGGATCGGGCATCACAAAAACTAGTCAGGATTGGTGAATTGGCGGTCTGGATCGCCGTTTTGTTGTGCAGAAAAAATAGTGAACCGGCCAAGAACCGGTCCCGATGGGTGAGTCGGCATTTTTTTACTGTAGCAAAATGGTGCTTTTATTGTAGTAAAATGCCGTTTTACTGTAGCTACTCGCCCATTCTCTTCTAGACTCGGACGATTTCCTATATATTGACAGAATCGGCATGGGGTGACCGATTCCCAAGTCCGACCAGGCAATTCTGTACCGACCCAGCGTTTTTTAAATCACTGATATTGACATACACATGTAAACTCATTCACAAAACACCCCTCAATAATTCAAAAGAAAATGGGCGATTATTGCTTTTCAACATACAGGAAAATAGGTCAATGTTTTAGACATCGATGATCCTTAAATTTCTTTTTAATTTATTTAGAGCAGCTATTCCTTGACAAATGAAAATCTTTTTGATTTCTCACAATTTCGAAAAAAATATAGATGAATTTTAATTTTTACATTTTTTTAATTAGGGATCAATTTTATTATTGAATAGAATACAAGCACCAAGGGAAAAAAAACAAAGTAATATATCAATCAGTGATGCACTTCGTTCCACAGATTAAAAAATCTCCGACCCTACCACCTAACAACACTAGGGGCATGCTGATTGCTTTACCATCTAAGCCTTCCACAAAAATCTATGGATGTTTGATTCTCTTCCATCTCAATCACCAGGACCAAAATGGTTTTTGACACAATGTTACAATGGCATAGATGTGATGTCTGACATGCCTCTCGAAATTTTGGTTTTGGACACGAACAAGTTGCCACAACACTAAGATGCAGCATGTATCTCCACGAGTACTCGTATATTTTTAAATAAATCTAAGCAGTAACTAAATATGAATAATGATTAATGTATGGACACATGCATGTCCAACTTCAAGATATACACATCCTAAACTCTAGAAACTTGTCTAAATCACAGGTGTATATGAAATTTGGCTATGCATATCCAAAATTTTAGGCACACAGGTCAATGGATGATAAATTGAGCCTTGTGTGTTCTAGCTTGCAATATTTTGAGCCTAGCAACACTGGCCAGAAATGTTAGCTGGTGCCACTGAAAAGTTCACCAGTGTTATCCAATGCCACCACATACCACATATGCAGCCACATCAAGGTGGAGTGTCCAATGGACTGCATCAGCCCACTAAGACAGGCATATACGATGCGCCTGCCTAGGACGTACATACGCTGCCAAGGAATCCCCACTTAGGCAAGCTTATACAGCCACATTTTTCTGCCCTGCTGGTGGGGAGGATTATAGCCCACAACCTCACGGATGTCGGTCTGTTCCCCCATGAGAAGTGGGCGAGGGATAAAACCCCTTAGAACGACATCTTTTTGGTTCCAAGGGGATTAAATCCAATTTGTCCAAAATCGATTTTTTTTTTCTTTTAATTCAGAGTTTATGAGCAAAACTCTTACGGGTTTCCTGGTAAGTTTCCTATTGATTTTGAGCTCACTTTGGAGGATTTTAGCATGCACAATATCGAGTTATCAACTCATCAAAGGTTTGAAGGTGATTGCACTAAGAAATTGAAAAAAACAATTTATTTTCTTTTGGGCGGGGTGGGGAGGGGGGGGGTTCTGCTTTTTGCAACATGGGCTTTGCTCCTGAGCTTTTTTGGTTTCTGGTTCTACTTGTGAAGTACTTAGTAGTTGGCTATATTCAACAATCCCCCCTTTCTCATTTCTTTTAGTAGTTTCATATTATGCACGCTATATTACTTAAGTTCTTTGAATCTGGACATACCCTTCTGCTTTTCATTCAGTTTGATGAAATGGATTAGATCATTTTATTTTACAAGCTTATTACCTTAAGAGTCAGAAAATGTCTCTATTACTCTATCAGCAACAGAGACAGCATATGTTAGAGTCAAAATGCCCACTATCGCACAAACCGCATATTTGTGTTATTATTTACTTCTTTACAAATTTTCCATTTTCATATTTTTTTATATTTATTGTAGACGGAATAGGAATTGCTTACCAGGCATCAAGCTAACACATCAGACCCCCTTAGGGCCTCAACCCCATGCTGCATTTGAAAACTTTCGTGTTGACCACACAAATTCATTACAGTCAAACATGCCTCCATGTGTGTCTTTGTCATATATGACCTTCACATCTCCACAAAAAATTGCTGAAAATCAGCAGTTTGCCGTAGTACCTAACCCATGAACATACAGAACTTATCAACCATCCAAAGGAAAGTAGTACCTAACTCATGAACACACAGAACTTATCCACTATTACAATTGATACCCCATAGGAACCATCCAAAGGAAAAAGTGATACCTGACCTCATCAAATAGGCCTAAAATCCTTTTTTTTTTAGGAGTCCATGGATCTCTTTCAAAACTTCCACTAAAGCCCCATTTGGACAAAAAATTAAAGAGAACCTAGCTTCCAGAAGACAGCTACGACCGTCTCTGATAGACAATCTAGCAAAAAGTTCTCTGCCAACCACATCCATGGAAGGGAAGTTTTACCATACGTAGAGCTCAGGCAGGATTCTAATACATATCCATGTTCAATATTCTTAGAGCTTGCTTTTCTCGTCAAAATTTTTGCCCATTAAATCTGTCCGACAGATCCAATTTCTCAGCCATATGATGTGGATAATGAGCCATCGTCGCCCTATCAAGTATTTGAATTTAAGATAAATGACAGATCAATTCTTCGCATAGACTTTTTCTTTAATTGCTGAGAGAAGACTTCAATTTAAGAATTCAGGCACTCCAACCAGATTATGTGCCAGACTATGTTACCTAACCATATATCTCGTCTTGGTCACTTTTTTGAAATGTAGCCCACATCCTTCTCTCTCACTCAGGTCACGCAAGAACAATTGGTTCAGCTATTAGTAGCAATACTAGTATAATGTTGATTCTTCATCATTCAAGACAAATATGAAATTATAATTTTGGAATGAAACACAACTAGAACATAATCTGCTACAATTGCCATATTTCATAAAGGCTAAATGTTTGATGCAGGACAAAATTATTTTTATTTTTAATTTTCATTCAATGTCAAATGATGTATATTTCAATTTTAGTTGTTATGGGTTATTTTTAAGGTTTTTAAGCTTTTTTACGGATCCTAAGATTTTTTATATTTTTATTTATTAATCACAGTTACTATTCATGGGGTACTATTCACGGATATTGTTCATCAGGGTAAAATTATCATTACAAATGTTGCGTCTAAGTTAGGACGTTTTAGGTCATTTTAATTATTGTATGAACATATAAGAAGTGCGTGGGGCTTTGAGCAAGACATTTCACGTTATTTTCATAATTGAAAAAAAAAAAAAAAACTTAGGCCTTTGGAACGTAGCATGAGGAGGAAACACTAGGTTTCTCCTAGTTATTGCTTGTGTTAGGCATGTTTTCTTGTTGATTTTACTGCTCTCTGAAATTTCCTTATATCAACTGATATCAAAGCTCATGTTTCCTTCAACAACAAAACCAGGAAACTATAGCCAAGCTAAGGGTTTGCTAATTTTGGGCCAAACTTTGCCAAATCAACCTAGATCTTTCTGATTTCAACAAGGTTTTGTTGATTCTCTGCCTAGCTTTAGTGATTACAGTGAATCTATGGCAGCGTGAAGGGGTCATGAAAGGGATATGTTTTGTAAATCCACTTCATGATCCTAGAGATGAAGAAATTGAGAAACTTAAAAAGCAAGTTCAGTAGCTTGCGCAACAGGTTGGGAGCATCATTTATAGGCAAGATGGTGATCTTTCCGCCCAAGAAGAAGTCGCGTATCACCCTTTTCATCTCCGTGCTTCAGGTGAAGAGTCGAGAGAAGGGGAAAGTGACAAAAGACCTTGATGTTGGGAACATCACTCTACGATTTTTTATTTGAAACACATTCTTGATTTTGACACAGTTTGTATTGAAAATCAGCAGGTTATAGATTGGGATCTATCACCAATCTTTGATACATACATAAATAAAAAACAAGATCTTGTAGGAGATCCAATCGGCGATGATGATGATCAAGATTTCGTGGCTAAACCATTTTTTGACGAAGAAAAAGATAAAGATCGAAGATGTTCAAGAGATTTAGGGCATTGGATCAACATAGCGCAGTGAAGTGTGATCAACTCATAAACCGCAAATTGTGGCTTTAGTTTCAATGAGTATTAAAATTTGAGGCTTTTAGGGCATTGGATCAACATAGCGCAGTGAAGTGTGATCAACTCATAAACCACAAATTGTGGCTTTAGTTTCAATGAGTATTAAAATAGATGTCGAGAAAAACTCTAAATGCCGAAAAATTGTGTTCAAAGTTTCCTACAAAATTTCAAAGCAATTTTAGGGATAACTGAATTTGGCAAGTTTGTATAAATTCTTTACTATCCATACCTAGATCCGTTTCTCAGGGATTTCTTCTTACCACAAATAATATTTGAGCTAAAATAGAAAAAGGACATTGCAAAATGTGGTTTTGATGCTAAATTCATTTTAGCACGCTTCAAAACTGGCGGATGAGTTTTCTCCGGCTAGGGGAGAATGATGTAGGAAATTTATTCTTGTTTTTAATTTTTATTCAATTGATGTATATTTTAATTTTAGTTTTATTCTTTATTTTTAGGGTTTTTAAGTTTTTTAGGGCTTCCAGAATTTTTTTATATTTTTTATTTATTATTCATTACTTACTACACATAGGTATTGTTCACTGTACCATTCATGGGTCACTGTTGATAAGGGTTAAATGACTTTGTGGGTCATTTTAATTATTTTATGGACATTTAGTGTCTTTGAATATTAAATTATAATTTATAAAAAGTGTGTGGGGAGTTAAGGAGGTCATTCCATGTGATTTTCATAATCGAAAAAAGAACAAAAGCTTAAGCTTTTGGAACTCTAGCTTGGGGTGAGGAGGAAACCCTAAGTTTCTCCTAGTTATTGCATGTGTTTGGAATGTTTTCTTACTGATTTTACTGCTTTCTCAAATTTCTGTACATCAATGTTCTAACTTAATACAAATTGTCTTCCTAATAACATATTATTTGAAATGAGCAAACTTTTTTAAGACTTAAAATAGCCAATCTCGATCAGAGAGAGTTGGCTGTGCGGGGGGGTCAAGGGGACAAGAGAATGCCATGCAACCATGGTTTGCCATCTGCATCCATATTTTTTCTGTTCCATCCAAAACATAGGTGGAGAAATGGATAAATCCCTCCATAAGTTGCCTAGAATTCCATCCATGTAAATGGTGCATATAGCAAACAGATCGGAACAGATAGCAATAATAAACAAAACAAGAACTGAAACATCAATAAAAATGCAGAACAGTGTTAAATTGAAAGCTTTAGAGCACTGTCAAAGGAAAGCAACAAAGGATGTTTCGATTTACAAGAATTTATTCACACAAAATACAGTAACAACAGGTAGCAAACTCTTACCTGTGGAAAATGAGAAGCAAAAGCAGAAAAATAAGGCAAATACATAAAACCACCAGAAGCATTATGGCCACCACATCTCTCCACCTGATCATACACTCAATTCAACACAATCAGAGCGTATTAAATTGATGAGTATCAAATTATTACCAGACAATCAGAATCTTCTAAGTCACTGGTCCACTTCAACGTCAAGAATAAATGGCAAAATCCTTTTTTTTTTAATGTTGTGTTTGTGATCTGTAGGACACACTATGAACTTAATGCTAACAGATTACCACATACCATGCCCTTGACATACTATTCCTTAGAAATGTAATGTACATGATTCCAGTCCAAATGCACAGCACCGTTTCTTCAAAAATATACCACCTACAACAGTAGTTCAGAAAGCACGTCACATGACAAGAAGAGATGCAACAAGAACAGGTTAATAATTATGTTTCATAAAAACCTAAGATATGTTAGCTTATCAAAAAAACAGGAAAAAGAAAAGACAGACAAACTGACACCAATGTAATACAAAAGTAGGTTTTCAAGAATTATGTTGTTTGTTTTTAATCAAAAAATGGAAAATTACATTGGGAAAAATCAGTATGAGCAACTTGTAGCCAGTGTTTTCAAATGTGGAAGGTGGACTCGATGCGGTCAGAGGTCCAATTCGGCTCAATGTGATCCTCATCACCCCATGCAGGTGCATCACCTCTTATGCAATCAATAAACTTAGAAAACTTTTAAAATTATAAAAAAATATAATAATGCATATAAAAATATAAGTATCTGATTCATGTAATATCTATAGAAATATTCCTATCTAGTGTGAATTTTTAATCTTATATATATGAGATGAAAGTACAAAAAATTTATGTACCCCATTTGGGTCACCCTATGGGAATAGTGGTTCCTTTAGAGAAAGGGCGGCAAGGCCTCCTGTGCATAAGATACAAGGTTTTCTCTTAGAGAGATGAGAGCTATGGATAGAAGCATAGTAGGTATCGTAATTTACTAATTATCTCTAAGATATTAGTTGTCTGAGTTCCCTAATAGCCTGATAGCGAGTAACATAGTTTGTTCTCTAATATCTAATAGTCTAAATGTCTACTGCAATTAACATATAAATAAAGTAATCCATTTCATCTCACTCCCTAAATTAAATAAATAAAATTAAATCTAATATGCTAAATAGTCATGACATAACATCCAATTACCAAGTCTCTAGATGTGCTTGTACTGTATTTTATTACACAATTTTAAGTTTTTGGATAACATATCCTAGATCTACAGGGTATCTGTGTTGTAGTTTGCTTTATGAGATGTTTCTTTCTAGTTCCACTTGCTCAAAAGTACGAAAAGACCATAATAACCACTTTGTATGAATTTCATACCGAAACAAATACAAAGAAGAGAAATGGCTTCCACTTGCAACACCTCCCTCCCTCCTTCCCTCTTCACTCCCCAGGTTCAGATTACTGTTTGATAAGATGGTAAATATTGTACTACATGTTTCTATATTGCAAAGTCTTTTTCAAGATTTACGGGAAAGGGGCTAGGGTCATGGTGGTAGCACCCCACACCTTAGTTACCACGTTGTGGTTTCCATTCCCACCACTAACACCACCCCACTATTACCTTCAAAAAAACTAACTCCTAATCTACTTGGGAAAAAAGTCTTTTCAAGATTGCAGTAAATCTAAACTATATGGATACCAAACAGAAAATAGTTGCCTTCACATGCTATCCATTCCATTAAATCATGCCTATTTATGGAGCCCTGCCAGAAGCCATTTCATTTCATCCTTAAAACATGCCTATTACAAGTAAGAAATTCTTATAAGAAACTCTAAATTCAAAATTGAAAAAATGTTAAATATTAATAGAACTATCCTCATAAGAACCTATTTTGGCATAATAATTTTCACAGATGTCATATAGAGACCAAGGTTGTCAGCAGCCCTTACTCCATGTAATAGAGAAAACTGTATGTCCCTTTAAACTAGGGCTCATTTTGAAGCCAATTCCATTCCTGCATTTTCATAAACGCCATTTTTGTGTCTTATGCATGTGAAATTACGTAAATATTTTGCAATAAATTCTTAAATGTTTAAAACAACTTCATTAAATGTATCTAGACTAGTGAGAAAGATATACATATAAATCAAGGAAACTCTTACTATAAGTAAATATACATAAAAATGAAAAGCATAGAAGATCAGTCGAAAACAGATATCCTACATGTTGAGCCCACTAGTACGCCATGAAACTCTTTTGTAAAATCATCATTGGAAAATGCAATATCATAAAATGTGAAATCCTATATCCATAAATTGTAGAAATAGAGTTACTAGACTCAATTAACAAGACTGAAATAATTAGTTATCCATAACATATTCATTTAAGGGTTTCAATGGAATCAAAGAATTTCTTGATGCCTTTATGTTCGTCATTTCAATAAAATCTGAGTGTAAAAGTTCACTTGTCGATGGAACCAAAAGAGTTTTTTTTGTTACTCCTTAATGTCTTCATTCAGTTACTCATTAATGTGTTCGTTCACTGGAAAATAATTGAACAAGATTCAAAAGAGAAACAGTAACATTAAATGCATAAAATGGTAAAAGATGACACTTATACAAAATCGAAAGTCACAATACTCACCAGAACCGAGAATGATTGCCTTGACCTATACATGTTCCAAGCCAAACACAATGGTGATCGAACTGCAACACACACTTGTCACAATCGTGACAATGTTTTGAGCGTGGGGGCTGCATAAAAAGACATAAAAAGATGATGGTTCTATATACAAATGGTGATGGTTTATGGTGTACTTCTGGAATAACCTCCAAAACAACCCACCATGGTCCTATGAAATATGTGGCATATGAATCTTTCAAGTATAAAATCAGAGGTAGAATGAAGCCCTACAGCTGCAAATTTGGCTAAGGTACATAACCCCTAATATGAGAATCAAGTCTCAGACTACCTTGAAAGGAAAAAAATGACTATGACTACGAACAATAAATTACAGATTAATGAACTTAATATCTTACATAATATCCTACAGTAACATAGCATCCTAGATTTCATAGATTGACACCATCATTCTTATCATGCAATCGTTAATCGAGATAGATTGATGTTAAGGACCAAGCTCGGATAACCATAACAAGATCTTATGAATACAAGCTAACAACAATACCACACCAATATAGCCATTTCTTTATTTCTAAGCTAGCGGAGACTTGTATGGGAACTCCCACTCGTATTGATTTTTGGTGTAGAATATGTCCAAATGACTGTTGACCATAAAATTTACAGTTCATCTGGGGATAAGAATACCACGAAATACAAATTTGTGCCTAAATTTATACTCTAGTAATGTTTACTTTCACTATTTCCAGCTAGTGTACATCAAATATATCATGGAAGCATCCATTCCTTCCTTTGTTGCCAGTGTCCAATCGAATCAGGAGTTCAAATGAAATGTCAAAAGAAACACTGGGTTCTGAGCGGAAAAAGGCAGATTTCAATAACTTCAGAGAGTGTCCAAAGCACATCCAAACTGTGAAAAAAAAGAGGATGTGGCAGTAAGGGCGAATCTGAGTTCATGAGCTGATGTGTCAAATAAGGCTAAGGATGTGCAGCAAATAACTACACTAGAAAATGTGGCAGATCAGGAATATGCGGAATTTGAAATGACAGTCCATAAGGAAGATGTGGCTCATGACGAGAATGATATGACTGCTGATATAACCAGCAATGAGAAATTATCTCAAATTCTAGATGAGGTGACACGTGACATGGATACACCACCATCCTTGATTCATGAAGAGGAGGAAAGAAGATCAAATATGGTTGGGTTGAAGGAGCATATTCCTAAAGAGAATCTGCCAAGCATTAAGTGAAAAGAATAGAAGTATATGCTAGGCATAAAAGACCATACAGCTAGCACACATTCAAATTCATAAAGTGCAGGGAACACCAAAAAAGAGATCCCAAATTCAAACTCAAAAGAAGAGACCTTTGAAATTTCTGAAAAAGGATGGACAAACTTCACAAAAGACGAATGTTGACACACCACCATAAATGACAAAACTGGATAGTAGCATAATGGACCAATATCCTACAGGAAGCAACAGAGAAATATACCACTACAGTGCAGCACAACAGAATACCACACAGCAACATGCTATAACCTACCAAAAGCCCCAAAAAGACATCCAAAAGAAGACAAGATCCGAGGTACAAAGGAAGGAACATTGAAAAAAAACAAAGAATTTGAAAATAAGTTGGAAGAGTTGAAGGAAAGACATGAGAGACACCAATTCAAGCAATGGATACTCATGATATTTAAGATGTAGATTAATCGAACATAGTGAAATTTCACACTAATATATTGTAGAGTTAGGCATAACTTTCTAACTCATTGCACTCATACTCCTAATAAGATTAAACTCTATGGTGTGTGACATTCTTGTAGAGAGGAGGAAGATATAAAATGAAACGAATCCACAAAAAAATAAAACAAAAATCCTCACTGAGTCTGCAGGGGAATCCACCCCAATGGCTGAGAGATTTGACCCTCTCTCTAGGCCCCCCCCCAAAAGAGATATTTTCACAAAACCCAAAAATCAATTCTTCTTCCCTCATTCTATTTCCTTGTTCAACATTTATATACCATAGCAAAAACATTGAAACCCTAACTTGTTCCATAAGAAACTAATCATTGTTGAATCCCAGTCCCGTATCTTCTCAAAATTAAACTTCCAACTCTGCCCCACAATGCTCTACAACAACAAAATTACATGAATTCCCTGAGGAAATATTGAAAAAAAAAAAAAAAGCACTTTCAATCTCCAAAAAAGACAATAATAATAATTCAAAATTCTAAGTGCATCAATACTTAATGGGAAAACATTGTCCCTAAGAATATTAAACTATAACATTCTCGTTCCTCAAAAACCACTCTTGAGGTAGGTGAGGGACCCAAAAAGTTCCATGTCAGTCATCTCCACTCAAAAAACAATCTCCTCTAGAAAAAAATTGATTAGCAACTCCAAATAGGCTTGTTATATATGGCCATCACCAAATCAAATCTGGGTCGTCCAACTGAATAAGTACTTGATCTAAGGGATTTAAAGCTTTTTGGGATCTCCAAACAAATCTTATTAGGAGAACCCACACCAAAGACAATCTCCAACAACAAAAAAAAGTCTAGGAGCTCCAAATATGCTCTAAATCTATCGCCAACACAAAATAAGATATAGGCCAGTCATTTCCATTTTGGTTTGAATGGTGGGTCCTAAGGGATTTGGAAATTTGTCTTTTGGATATCTTATCTGGATGATCATGATTTGGAGGCAATTGGAGCATGTCTGGTTCCTCACCTCAAAACTGGTTTTCGAGGAGCAGAAACATTATACTCTTATATTCCTAGGGAGCCCCAAAAAAAAAAGTTTTCCATATTCAATTATTCAGTTTGAGGGTCCATGGCCCTGGCCCGGCCCTTGGGCCACAATATGGCCCAAGGGCCAGGCCCGGTGTTTCCCCTTACTTCTTCTTTTTATTAAAAAAAAGCATCTAATTTAGGCCTGCCCAGGCCAGGACCAGGCTTGGATCAGGGCCCCTTCGGCCTGCATGGGCCTGCCTGGGCCTCGCAGGATTTACAAGGATCTGGGCAGCGATCGGGCCAGGGCTGGCCCAGCCCTTTGCCAGCCCTAAAAGGGTGGGATGCATAACCATACTACCCTTGAACAAGCACATTTAAATGTAACAGCCATCTGGCATAGATACCCCAATAGAGGAATTCAAACTTATAATTAGATCAGTCTATAACCATGAAACTTCTTATACATTACAATTTAGCCTCAATAAGAATAAGGCAATCAAAAAGAAGGAAAAGATATGGCTTACTAATGGTTTCCACAAAAATAGACTTTCTTGAAGGAAATAGATAAACTTCAAGACCTAGGGCTGTAGGTTAGGGCTAGGTGTGGTGCTCATACCATGTTCAAGCTATACTCACCAGTGTAAACCTAACTGTACTAAATGTACAGATCATATTCGAATGACCACAAAGTCCAAAAGACCACATAATCTTATACACCATATATAGAGACCAAAATAATTATACTACCATTTGTCGCGCACAATGTACGAAATACAAAAACATAAAGAACTCTGCAGCTCGAAGACATAATGTGCCTTTTTCCAAATTATCTAATTATCAGGCTTTCAACAAGGGCAGTCAAAATATGTGACAAATGGAACTGAGTTCTCATAAATCCATGTTCAGCTAGGAGAGAGCCGGCTGACATTTCATACATTCTTTGCAACACATGATGAATATGGGAAAAAGGAGCCAATCACAATAGGCCATAAAATCATAAACATGTTTTAGCAAGACACATACATTGTCGGCAATCATATACACTTAAAGGTTCCACACATTGTGTAAGCATGCAATTACATGAGCATGACATTAGTGAACTTTCGAAGGCATCAGATCTACGTCAAGAGTATATTCACATCTTAAAAAGCACAAAGTAAAGACAGAAGAAGTTCAGGATATGTAGTTATACCTGTACAACATTACAATAAGTACAAGTCCAATGTCTGCCACATCAAATGCAGACAAGTTAGTCCATATATATATTGTACATCGATTGTTACAAACTTAATTTATTCATTACAAAGAGCAGTAAACATTGATATGATAAAACTAGTCATGATTAGACTCATTTATTCCAATAAGTGTCCAGAAGAACTTGCTTAAATGTTGAACATACCTGCTGGAAGATCCAGGAGGGTACATGTCCATTATCAGTTTCACCCAAGATGTAGCTTCAACAGAACAAGCAGTTGAAACCGGCTGGTGACTGTAAATGGGAATGATCAAGCTGGCATCTTTGACAGATGCAGACTGCCTTTCCTTGATGGTTTAAACACATCATGAGTACTAACTTGTAATGATTTGCCAGCACATTTTAATTGACAACATTATTGTAACAACTTCATTCTTAATTTGAAAAAACAAGCGGAGGACCTTTAATATTTAAACATTAAAAAATAGAGCATACTTAGTGGTCTTGGGTGGTCTTCTAGAGGTAGATTGTATCTCACAGCCAGCCCTCATTGCATCAATTACAAACCTAAAAAAGAAACTTGTCAAAATAGCTAATTGATGATTACAAAAAGGGAAAGCAATCGAACATTCTCCGAAAAAACAAATCATAATTAGTAATAAAAAGTGACAGGCACAGGATGATTAATTACCCTGGAGATGAACCAGACGTATAAAAATACTGAAGTAATGTTACAAAGAAAAGAAACCAGTATGTCGCAAAATACCTTGCATCAAGAAATAAAAAGGAATCAGCAAGCCTGTGACCGACAAGGTCAACAGCTAACTAATAAATACAGGAATAACAAGAATATATTGAATAAAACTCTCCTGAAACTATTTTCAATTACAAACCTCAGGGAATTTTTTAAGTAAATCCAACGTAAAGAACACCTAATTAACAGGATATCCATATTTGCCCAGATTTCAAATGGGTAATCATGCATTAACTTGAAACCACCAGGTACTGGAGCAAGAACAGGTTTCCTATGAAATATCTCACAAAATTTCTCAGAAAAAGTGCATCAACAGATTGTTTCAGGCAATAACGGTAGTTTGCAGGTTCATATCAACTGGAATACAGAGGCCACTGTAAATTAGAGAGAAGGAAAAAATATTATGCAAATGTGTACTAAGTTTGTATCTCAAGTTCCAAGTTTTCAACTTAATTCCCTTGATTATGAACTCACCAAAAAGACACAGGAAAAAGCAAAGGATAAGTGAACAGTTTATATTGTATACAGCATGGATACCGAAGGATACAGATACAAGGAGACATCAAAATTAAAAGTATGATTTGGCCAAAGGGTGCATTTTCAAGGGTAGCTTCTTGACCCCAAATGTGATCAAGGATGGCACAGTAAAAATCACCTAGCTGCATATGTGAGTAAAGCATCAACCACACTTTAAGGTCAATGAGCCATAGCATAATGGTCCATGGTGCCTCCTTGGGAGTTCTTGAAATATTGCTGACCATTAGTTATCGATAATGTTCACATACCAATGGTGGAGAACATAATGGTAAAAACAAAATTACACTCGGTTCAACAAAGGAATGATTAAGGTTATGGAACTTCCTAATAGTGCCCAATAGTATGTGTTTTCCTTAGTGAGTTCCTTTTTGTCTTATTTTAACTAATGAATCATCATTGATAAAGTGGAGAAGCAGGTAAAATGAATGATAAACAAGTTCAAACCTGGAAAGTGTGAGGATACTCCCCCTTTCTTGATGCTTGTAGTAGCTGAGAAAAAGAAACTCAATTTTGTCTCAATATCAGAGACATAAAATGAGAAAGGTCATCATCATCATCATCATTTTAGCCTTTTTCCGATTAATTCAACATGAATCTTGATTTTCCATTCTGCTCTATTAAAGGTCATATCCTCAATGAAGCCATAAGTCCACATATTCTTTTTGGACTACTTCCAACCACGTCCTTTGAGCCTAACCCTTGGCCTTTTCAGTCCTTCCACTTGAACTAATTTACACCTCCTAACAGGTGATGTACTTGGTTGGTGCCACTCATAAATGAGAACGATAACAACTGAAATTGACTTAACCAGAATGCAGATTCTGACATTGTTTCAACACTCCTAAAGAAATTGATAGATGGTAGGCAAAGCTTGAGATGCCCTTCAGTACTTAGGACTCATTAATCTATTATTGTGCAATTATGCAATAATGACAGCATTATTCCTTGCAGAAACCACAACTTGCTTTCTACAACGGACTCTAAAGAAGCTAATAAAAAAGAGAGGTAAATCGACTCAGCACCATTGACATTAAATCAGTGTTCAAGGCTAAACATGTAGGAACCATAATAAATCAATTAGTGCAGCTATTGAATTTCAAAGAACTCTATTGATGACTCTCTTTTTCCATTTCTCAAAGATGTGTGCTATTTGATCTATTTGTTAAACCACCCATTATGAACTTGAGGTTCCTTCTGATGCCATCTCAACTTTTACAGAAGGCATAGAAAATGAAACCATGATACAAAAAAAAAAGAAAAATCATTAAACGTTGAATAATTAATTTGAATGAAATACTAGGCATCTACACTCGCAGTGACTATAGACAGATATCAAATTTATACATGCAATCAATTATTATTTTTTGAAATGTATACATGTAATCAAATTAGAACTAAAATTATGATAAGTTATATTACACATAGTAATTTTCAACTAGATTTATGTAGGCAGCTTGACTTGATTTTCTACAGTGGTAAACATTTTCATTTTAGTACTCTTCACAAAGCAATACAAGTATATGAATGGAGCACTTACATTTGATAGCTCTTACCTGATTAAAAAAAGAAAAATTACACCTTATCCATCCCCACTTTCAATGTATCAATAACCGCCTTATAGATACTCCCACTATTTTATCATCCTATAATGCCTTCCTTTGGTTATCACTGCCGCTACCAAAAACAAAGCCATTAAATAAATGAAACTAGCACCCTATTGCAAGTTGTAACATGATTGAAACTTCTAATCCACGAAGTCTGAAGCCTTAACATCCATTATGATAGAACATATCATAAATGATCAATAATGTTAGAAGCCATCCCATAAAATCTAAATATTTTTGGAAGGATTACAAGCTCTCACAAGAAACATAGATAGACAAAACCAAGAAGAAACACGTTAAACAATTCTTTTGCACTCTTGTCAATTTTAGAGTGATTTAACCTCCTGAGAAAGGAACTGATTACGTTCAGTTTATCATACACTTCAATGAACACATATCCACCACAAAACAAAGAGGATCCAGCATTAGCTAGCAATAGACTGGAGCAGTGTACCGTACATTGCTTTGGGCCAGGTAATGGCCACTGGGTCACGGCTAGTTACTGAGCCGAGTCCTATACAAAAAGCTTAAAACAAAAAGAAAACCAAAAAAGACAAAAATAAATAGACAGCCCATTTCTAAATGCATCACTCAGGTGGCGCTGGTGAGCACCAGGTGGTGCCTCGAGGGCCATGAAACTTTATCTATCTTCCTTTTCATATCCCCAACACAGCAACCTCTTCTACTTCTCCTGTCCGTGAACAGCAAAGGAGGAGCAGATTGGGGTTTTCTCTACCGAAGAAAAAGAAGAAGCAGAGGAATACACGGAAAGGAAGTCGGGAAGATGCAATAGGAAGAGAGAGAGAGAGAGAGAGGGATTTATGTTTCGTGTTCCCACCGAAATTTCAGAACCCCTCTCCCTGTGTGTCTCTCTCTCTAACTATTTCTTTCTCTAAGATGGCCGGAAAATTGGGCATCGATTAGAACTCCGATGATGGCCAAAATGCCGGAAAAGGGAAGACGGTATAGAAAATGGAAGTTAGCAATCACTGGAAAAAGATTCAAGTAATCGGAAAGTGGTCGGAAAATACTTTTTTGAAGTCTTTTTAGCTTCATTTTTTTAAACTATTCAAGGGGATCTTTGGTGGGGGATTGGGGGGGGAATGGAGTTGGGCACCCAACTTGCCTTGCCATTAGGGTGATGCCGAGTTACCCCGCCAAGTCCGAGTGGACTAATTCATGGCATATTGGACTAGAGAACAGAGAGGTAAATCACCTAACATCATAGAAAGAGTGATTAATTTGTTCTAGGTTCCACTACTTATTAAAGGAAGATACAATATCAATTAGTAAACAACAGGGTAAAGGAACTGAATAAAATGAGAAATCTCCTTTATGGACAACCATCCTACAAGCCTCATCTTCAACTCACACAAATTTCCCACAATATTGATAAAAATAATTAGGAACAAGAACCAAGTAACAATACATATTAAATTCTGAACTGCATTACTTGAAATTTATACTTGCAGAACTTTGAATTGAAATCAATTGTCAATAAATGCAACACAAAATATCTCTCAAACTGAAATCTTGCAAAACACACAGGGGCAACCAATTTCCAATACACTGAGGATCATGATTCGTTCTGATTACATAGATAAATTCGATGTGGTAAACAACGGGCATTAATCCTAAAAGTCCTAGATTGCAGTAGAAACTCCAATACATTTGAATCATAGCACAAGCCAAAACAATATGGATGGTCCAAAATGAAAAAAAAAAAAAAAATCATTTGATTAAAGGAGGATTACCATGGATTGTCTCGAGTAGCATTTAGCATGTTCCTATCCAAGATTAACAAAGCGCCTGCAAACACAACGTGCATGGCAACCAGTGCAAGCTTCAATCCCAATGAAGACCTTCTCTCTGAAATCCAAATCCAATAAAAGATGATGATTAAAAATGAGGATGAATATAAAGTATAAACCCGAAACAGCTGATTTTAAGTATCCATCATCGGAACAAACCAGGATCAGAGAGACATGGGAAAGCTTCATAGCATCTCTGGAGAAACCGCTCCCATACATCACGAATAGGATGGCAAAAACCATCCATCGTTAATTTAATAAATTAATAGAAACTTCAGGAGCGCAAATCCATCTCCCTTTCTCTCTCTCTCTCTCTCTCACTCTCTAAAACCAAAACCACTCCATCCCTGTCTCTAACTTCAAAAGAGTGTCCTTTTCACAACCCCAATTTGCAGAAGGATTTGAACAGGGAAGGGGAAGCAGTGACGCTTGTTGTTGCGCCTACAGCATGTGACGCTCAAACGTGCACCGGCAACTTTTGATGGTTCAGATTGAACCATGTTCATCCAAGGGCCAATAATGAATCTTATTTTTTATTTTTTATTTGAAAATGATAGTAATATGAAATTTTAGTTTTAGTTTTATTTTTAATAAGTGGGATTGAATAAAATTAATAAAAAAAAAATTAAATAAAAAAAATTAAAAACCCTCTAAAATACACTCTACATACGCTTTATCCCCCACCCTAAAATTGTCTCACTACTTTTTTTATTAAAAACTAACTTTTATAACTTAAAACCCCCAACCTAAAAAACAAAAAAATCTGGACCCTTTTACCCCTCTTTTTTTTGCCCTTTAGATTACCTTTTTCTGTTTTCTTTTCTTTTCGTTTCCCCTTTTTTTTTTTCTTTTTCTTTTTTCTTTTTTTTTTTTTTTTTGTTTTCTATTCTATTCTATTTCTTACGCCCCTTTACCCCTGCGGTAGACCATCCTGCGAACTGCTCCGTCGTCAGCCCCATTTCTTCCGCCCCTTTACTCCTGCGTTTTTTTTCCTGCGAACTGCTCCTTCATTAGCCCCATTTTTACCCCTTTTTCCTACGGTTTTTACCCATTCTTACGCCCCTTTGCCTCTTGCATTTTTACCCCTTTTGCCCGCGGGTTGCTTACCCTACGCACCCCTGCAATCGAACTCGAGGTCTCCTTCTCTTCACTCTTCGAACTCGAGCTCTCCCTGCAATCGAAATCGAGGTCTTCCTTTATGGGCCTTGGATGTATCTTTAAAGAGCATCAGTCATTATATATGGAATCGAGTTTTAACAGGGCCATTTGCTTTGGTTGTCATTTATTGAGGATGACACTGTAAATGTTTCATCTGCTTGAGAATGAAATCCCTTTCCAATCAGTATACAAACCGGAGATTGTTTGTTTTGATGAGATTGTTTTCCACATCAGGAGTTGAAGTAGTTGGAGTTTGGATATTCGCTATGGAGCAAAGTCCACACTCCCATATTTTATCAGCACGTGCAAAACTTGTGGAAGTCACGCTAATAGGTGTAAAACTTGTGTATCATTTATTATATAATAATCAAAAGTGTTATTTAAAATATAATATAATACAAAATGTCAAACTCAGTATTTCTTTACGGTAAATAGTAAGCTCTACTGCTTTAGTGTAAAAAGTAAGCTCTACTGCTACGTAGCAATGTGGCACAAAAACTCTTTCTGGCACTTACAAATCCCACTCTAACACTTCATGAAGGCGCTCAAACACTTCAATAACATGTACCGGCACTCCATGAAGAGCGTTTTGACAATTATGAAGCGCTTTTCGGAGATTTGTTTCTTGGACTAATGTCTACTCCGGTACACGCATAAAGGCCAATCAAGCGATTCGGTTCCTAGAATTTTGGGCACTCCGGCACCCGCAGCATGGCAATCCGACGATTTGGTTCATGGACTTTTGTGCACTCTGACACACGCAACATAGCAATCCGGTGATTTGGTTCTTGGAATTTTGGGAACTCTAGCACCTACAGCATGGCAATCCGACAATTTGGTTCTTGGACCTGTAGCATGGCAATCCGACGATTGGTTCCTGGACTTTTGTGCACTCCGGCACACGCAACATAGCAATTCGGTGATTTGGCTCCTGGAATTTTGGGAACTCCAGCATCTGCAGCATGGCAATCCGACGATTTGGTTCTGGACTTATGTGCACTCCGTCACACGCAACATGGCAATCCAGTGATTTGGTTCATGGACTCATGGCACTCCGGCATAGTCATGCATTAATTCGGCAGTTTGTCGACACTCCGGCACTGTCACCATTATTGTCGGCCTATTTGCTTCCTGGGAGTACTGGCACTCTAGCGTGCCTACCATCTCAGTCCCGCGATTTGCTTCTTGTGCTTATGAGCTCTCCGGCACACTCATCATCCGAATCCGACAATTTTCTTCCTCTTTTCATGGTGCCCCGGCACATTCATGCGGCAATCCGGCGATCTCCCTACTAGCTTCATCGGCACTCCAACATTGTTACCATGACAATCCGGCGATTCCTTTCATGGAGTCATGGTACTCCGGCAAAGTGACTTGGCAGTCCGGTGATATTTTTAGATTCATCGCCACTCCGACAGTCTAACCGTGGCAGTCCGGCGATTTGGTGGATGGACTCATGGCCGTCCAGCATTGTCATACATCGGTCCCGCGATGTTTATTCTGGCAAAGTTAAGTCCGGCTTTAGTTATGAGAAGTCCAGTGACATCATCGAACAGTCTGGCTTTTCATTATTATAGTCTGGCATTTATTTACTGAGATCTTGGTCCGGCGTTAAGTAGCATCAGTCCAGCGATTTTCTCGATCAGTCCGCCTTTTGGGGCTGTGCTCCGGTGGTTTGTCTATTAGGCTGTCCGTCAATTCTTTGTCTGGGTCCGGCGTTTTGTGGTTAAATCAAACCGACTTATGGGGTTAGTCTAGCAAATGAGTACTGCAGTCCGGTGAATGTAGTTTTTTCATAACGGTGTTCGTACGGTGAAGGTACGGATAAGGGTAGTTTGGTCACAAAATTTACAACCTTTTAAGTTAGGGGGTTTTAGCTATAAAAGTAAAAAGTAGTGAGAATAGTTTTCAATAAAAAGTAAAAAGTAGTGAGAATAGTTTGTGGTGGGGATAGAGTGTTTATAAAATGTATTTTTAGGGGTTTTTAGCAATTTTTTTTAGAAAATACTAATCAAAATAAATTTTGACGAATTTTGATTATTTTTATATAAAATATTATTTACTCATTTTTAATTAATTCATCATCATCGTCAAAGCTTTTTCTTAACGAATCAGGGTCGGCGAATTCATGATAAGATTCGATTTCCTACCTCATACAACTCTAACCCCTTAACTTGGGCATCCTTTACTTGGGCATGCTTTACATAGAATCTATGGATTATAGAATGGAAAAGAATAGATACTGTAAACACTACTTATAATAAGAAAGCATGAGACCCTCTTTGTTAATAATGCAGAAGCAGTTTTTCTTTTCTAAATCAAGCTAAAGGACACAAAGCAACAGTGTCTGCAGATTACATAGTCACATCCCCGTGTGTGAAAAGGTCGAGAGGTGGCAGCACTACTACTAACAACCTGGTCCACCTAAAAAAATTCGTGTTTGACTGTAAGGTACCAATTCCACTAATTACTCCCAATTTTTCAATTTGGAGGTCCACATTAGGACTGGTTGGTGTACGGTACGCTTCACGCATTTGTTGCTCATTTATTACGAATGATGATGAGGGTTATGTGGTAGCAATGGGTTGGGTGGCCCAGCCCTAGAAATCTAGGGCCTGGCCCACAAAATGTCGATGGAGGGTTAAGACCAGCTCAATTTGCCCAGCGTGACCTTGTTTTCTTAACTTTTTCCTTTATTTTTATTTTTTTTAAGTGATGTTATTTTGATTCAGCCAGGCCTGCCACCCATAGGCACTAGAGCCCAACTAGGCCTAGGGCCGAGCTAGCTCTAGGGCCCAGCCCGGCTTGTTGCTAACCCTAATATTTTTCGGGAATTGTGGAGCCCCTTTGTGTGATGGACGGTGGACAACCCCTCCTTGATCCAAACACCATTCAAAGTAAGGTAATTAGAGGCAGTGTGTATAGAACCGACGCTCTTAACAATCAAAATAAAGTGCACCTTCAAATAGTATCGGAAAATATGATTTCAATGCTTGAAATCTTTGTAATAGCCGTAAAATATGTTTTTATTTATAATTTTTTATAAAACTTAAAAAGTAGTGTAGATCGAGCAGATTTGTAAAAACTTGAAAATAAAAAAAATCGACAGTCCAAAAATGCATTACAAGATGCAGTATCTCCAAAACTTGAAATCTATTTATTTATCATGTTCATGCATCTTGAGGTCGAAATGATCAATTTGAAGATATTAGGGCACCTCTTCTATTTAAATTTTTGAGGTATGCCCTAATTTGATTGTTTAGAGCCTCGCACTTATATAAATATTTTCCATTATATTGTGGGTATAATTTCCATAATGTTGCCACCTTAAAAAATCCAATTAAGGTGTACCCCTTAATTTTATCATAAATGTAATTTTAAAATAAAAAATTCTAAAGATGGCTTGAGGATCGATTTTCATATCTAATTATAAAATTTTAAATGGTTCATATCAAATAGATCTAAAAACACATGAAAATCTCAAGCATGGACGGCTTAAGTAATGTGTTGCATAATACACTATTTCGCATAATTGAAATCTTTTTTTCTATTCATATTCATACATCTCGATGTAAAGATGATCAATTAGAGGGTTTTTCAACACCTTTTATGATGGATTTTTTAGGTACAATTCTACATTTCAAGGTTCCTAACCTTATATAAACTTTTTCCTTAGGTACCTGAAAGGAAACTTCGACACTTGAATAGCTCTCTCTCTCTCTCTCCTTGATCAAATCATGGGTAACACGATTCAAGCAATTAAGGAGGTGTGATCAAATCATGGGTAACACGATTCAAGCAATTAAGGAGGTGTTGGACAACTGAGAGCTGGAATTCCAACTGGAAATGTCCAAATCCCTAATCTGGATAGCGGAAATTTGAGTTCTTAATAATAAGAAATACTATGTTATTTAGTTAGAATGTCTCAAATTTTGAGATTTTGAAAAATGGTGCTTGGTTTGGGCTGGAATCTTGTAAATCAGGAGATATTAAGATTTGTCATCTTTAATGGTGCATTGAAGTTTTAATCAATGAAATAACAATAATGAGATTTTGAAGTCATAGCTCGTACATGGTAAGTGTAATAAAATAGCCAGTCTAGATTATATACTCTATAGTAGATTATTGGGGCGATAACATGACTGCAACTCATGATATTCAAGGAGATTTGATATCAATCACAGTTGGTTCAGTGTTCAATTGTCGTCTTTTTAGAGAGAACGAGACTGCTTTTTGTTGGGGAGATGAGATTGGAAGTGGGGTTATAAGCTTGATTCCAAAGAATTTGAGGTTTAGAACCATTTCAGCAGGTGTATTCCAT